ATATGAAGAAATCGAAAATTTCGCGACTGTCATCTCATTCTCGGTATTTACAGGAACTGGCTCTTAAGTTAACGATTGACGACACTAGTGCTGTTTCAGTTTAAATCAGTTTGCTTAGCTTGTAAAGGTAATAATGTATACTTCATTCCAGTGAATCATCATTACTTCAAACTGTTGCGAATAGACACTTTCTTTACCTATTTTGTGTTTCAGAAATAAAGTGAAATGCGTGGAGATCCTAAATTCAAAAACTAATTAAAAAGGGACACCAAATGGACCATCGCTCATTTCATTGTTCATCGTTCATCTGCGATTCTCCTACCCCAAACAAGAGAGAAACCACTGAACTGCTCTCAGGATACATAAAAATGTAAAGAAAAACTGAAATTACTTTTAGTGAAATGGCAACTTCATTTTCTTTTATTTCAAGAACATAGTTACGACATCTGTTCAGAGGGATAAAAGTTTCGAGTTGAATTTGGATACTGGATAAATACGATAATTTTTGTTCATCAAAGTTTTGTCTCGTTAAAACATAGCTGTCCTCAGTAAAGCTTGTAGGGAAACAGAAAAATGCCCTTTCAATCCTTTTGTTTACATTTTCTCATTGAGATGTTTTGGTTCCAGAGGTTTTTCTTTTTCATTCCACGCTAAAATGTGAGGCATTTTCTATAGCCAGAGAGAAGCAAGATACCTCTGGGTCCAGGTGTTACTGGGTGTGCTCGAATATCCAAGTAAGTAAAGGATCTTGGAGCGGCAATGAACAATATCTAAAAGTTTGCCTTACCCCTTGTTTTTTAAGTATGGAAACATTTCTTCCAGTTTCTTCTTTACCATGTCGGCAGACATGCTTGCATTAAATTCTACGTCTTTTTGGTACTGTTTTGTCCTGGTCCTTATTGTAGCTATTTCGCTTTTAGTTGGCATGTGCACTTGGCCATTGATTATTTCAAAGTCACCATTCTTGAGTAAAAAGACGTTCCTCTGGAACTGATCTGATCGTGCACCGCTTGTTGACGGCAAACCTAGTGGTTGCTCCCTGAAAAAGTCAAGAGGCTAATTTTGATAACTATAAATTTAAAACGTAATCCGAAAGGGAAATCCAACAATTCCAGCTTTTAGTTAACAACAACCTCGCTCCAGAATAATTTTAAGAATATTACAGTCCTTTTTGCATTGTCTAAAAGCTAAAGATAATATATAGATTCAGCAAAGCCTAAAAGCGGGGCTCCTGGGCCGGATTGGTCATAGCCCGATTAAGCTAGCCCAGGATAAGCGAAAATTTTGATTTGAGTTTTGTAACTTGGCGGTGAGGTTTGGCCCTCTGCTGAGTTAGAATAATCTCAAACTACACAAAACATAGGCAGTGAACAACATTTTTATACAAGAAAAACTTTTAACCCTGGGTCAGCGTTAACCGATTTCCGAACAACCCGGCCCTGATAAATTACAAGTTAACATGACTTGAGTCAGCAATCTAATCGATTGATTGATTGTTTGATTGATTAATCGAAAACAAACACTTGATCAGCGGTCAACTTAAAAAACACGTGACCTCAATTAGCTCGAAGCCTGAGCCTGCGATGTGGTCACGTGATATTGTTCAGCGGATACCTGAATACCTTGTTTTGACACGTGCCAATTATCTGCCAATAGGCTACTTTCGATATACTAAAATTCAGCTTGATAACGAGGCCTAGAGCACACAAACAAAAGAAATGAATAAACATGTCATTCAATTTCCTTTGTTTGTGTCCTCTAGGCCTCGCTGCCATGCTGAATTCTAATATATCGAAAACAGGCCATTGACCTTAACATGGATGTCCAATATCAAAGATGTACGCTGTAAACCAAGGCGGTATGACTTGAAGTATGGCCGCCATGTTGTGGAACGTTGTCGTCGTTTTCGTCGTTTTCGTCGTAGGGCACACGCCCCCTCGATCCACGCCGTTAGCCATTTTGACCATGAAACAAGGGTTGCATGGTTATGTGATTCTGTTCCTAGAGTTATGGTGCTCGCTTGGCGGCACTTCGGGCGGCCGGAGCTCTGCTATAAATAGTATATTATTGGTGGACACGTACAACACGGTGAGCTCTCGATTCGGAAGTGAGAGCTGTTTGCATTTCAGTCAAGTGTTGTCGAGCACAAAATGGCGAATGATTTAAATGAAAATAATTATTCCTTGCATAATCAGCCTTAAACAACGAAAAACTGCAGAAAGTGATGTCTGCATATAATAACGAGAAGATCAGTTCTCAGTCAAAATTGCATTTTTCACTAATCAGTAACTTGGACTTGAATTTGATGACCGCAGTTTGACAATGAAAGCTTACAGAATTGAAACTTGCTAAGCACGAGACTAACCGCCGTCAACCATTCTCGTCCCTAGAGGCATAAGAGGCCGCGATCCTTTCAGTCAGCAGCGTTCTTTTTAGTCAGCATGCTCCTTAGGCCGCATGGGCTAAGCGTGGATTTTATTTTTTTTAACAGTTTGACGCGCGCGCACTTTTATCTATCCGTTAGAGTAGCGCGTATAACTGTTTATTTATTCAATGACGTGTCCCATTGAAACCTAAACTTAGCACTGAGGAAGGCCTAGACCCGAAACGTCCGCTTTAAAAATTGAGTTTAATTTGGCGCTGAATTATTAATATTTACAGCTTTTGAGCTGTTAACTACGCCATGCGGCAACTTATCCATTTGGATTACAAATATATATGCACCAAGAATGATGTTGTTGACCTCTCGGAACAAGAGATGTTTCATTTAACAAATCGAATGTGGTTTAGTGTTGTCTGTACTCTTATCGACAACGATATGCGTCATCACGGTGATCAAAATGTTGTGGACTCAAGAGGCGCAGCCGAGTGCGTCCACAACAAGTTTTGACTACTGTGATGAGGAATATCGTTGTCGATAAGCGTACAGACAACGCTAAACCACATTCGATTTGTTTTTTTTTTTTTTTACCACAAGATCAACATCAAAGAAAATGTTTTTTTCAGAGCGTGACCAAGGGCGTGACAAATTTACGCAAGCAGCGTTGTCTGGACTCTTATCGACAAAGGCAAATTAGCCAATCACATTGCGACATTAGTAGTAACTGTGGTTTAAAACAAATTTTTCACAGTACGGGGTTCATCCGCGCGTGTCTAGTTTTGTGCTTCTGAATACTACAAGCACTAATCTGACTTATCTTCGCAGTACATAGCTTTGTCACACTAGTTTCAAGGGAAGATTTTCTGACAACTAACTTCAGTTTCCTGTGCATTTACATTTAAATCCACCTGATCTGCCGACTTCTACGTCAGCTTAGTCGTGTTTAAATGCACTTGATATCTGCGAAACATATAAATTGGCGAAACACTGCCGCAGTGAATGTTTGGTTTAAGTATAACTTTCAACTAAGAGTCACTTTGATCCTCGGTCCGTCATAGATTTACATTAACTTTTGCAAATAAAACTAACAAAATAACCGATAGTTGGTCCCGGGCGATTGACTCCGCCGCTAAATTTCGCAATCGTGCAAACAATCCCGCCAGATGCGCAGTCTATACTTAATTAACTGGATATTACTTGAATACTAATACTTACATTATAAGACGGGTAATCAGAGTTAAAGACGTGGACGAGCAGGTTCCAAATCTCTCTTACGTTTGATAAACAATGTTCAAAGAAACAGCAAGCCAATCTTCTTCGTGTGTGGAAAATTTGCGCCCACTTGCAACCAACCAACCAAGTCTAGAAAGTGAAACCGGAAGAAGAAATAGTGGGCTAAACACAGAAAGACGAGGATATTTGAACGCCATAGATTCAGACTCTTACCTTAAAAGTATTGAAAAGGAAAAAAGGTTGCTCTGTAGTGTGTCAGCAGAAATCTTTTTTAAAAGCCGGTGCTCAATACAAGCGACCTCCGTTCTTTACCACAGCTGAAGTGAAAGGTAAATTTTATCTTCCCTATACTATTTTGTATATCGTCAGGTCAGGTGACTGTAGACTTTGTCATTCATCCGCTGTGACATTGACATAATTGCTTGATCATTAATACTTAGTTTCTATGGATACTGGGTAAAAATAAATCTAGGGGAATATGAATTTTGTTGACCTCAGACTACGACGAGAGGACAAATCAAGTGCGACGGCAATAATCTTTCATTGTTTTTCTGTTTTGCACGTTTCTTTTTCGCCAGTTCTACCACAATATAACAGGCTGAGTCAGTCGACCAACTACACAGCTGATGTGATCAGTATAGCTTACTTTACGGCTACTTTGAAAGGTAAAAATCTCATGTGAGGACTGTTTTGAATCCCAATCAGTGAGGTCACTTAGCTATCGGCCAGCCAAGCGCAAAAGTAATTACACTCTACGCCTGTACTATCTTTTCAGCTATCTTATACTTTGTTTATCCCGTTTTGCATCAGGGTAGTATTCGGTTTGTTCTCTTATTTCTGAAAATTCTGCAGTCCATTACTTCCACTATTCAGAAATGCCGTGAATACTTGTTACTTAGTTTTCTCTGAACTATTCGATCGTAAAGCAGTATGAAAAAAGAAAAAAAGTCGGGCGACGAGGAAGGTGATATGGAAATCCCGTGATAACATATTTTTGCAAAACTTAAGCTGTGGTCACGTGAATGTCAGGCCATCAAATGGGAGTAATATTTGCATTATTTATTCAGTTACCTTATTTTACTTATGGTTCACTGCGCATGACATCCTTACCAAGGTCTACCAATGATACTGCGTCTAGCAACAAATGTTAAGCTCATTATATGTGTTTTCTATTCGCGGTCGGTGGAGGTATTTCTGTGACATTCCTGTCTACAAGCATTAGTCTAACTTTACCCAATTTAAAGAAAGATAGAACGAGTTTCTAAGCAAGAGTGTTTCCGACTTATCAGGGTCGTGAGCTCCTAGTTTCGATCCTGAGTGTTATGCAGCTTATCAGGGCTTCAAATACTTTAATAAATTGTAAAATTGTATTTTAAGAGGCCAGACTCTGCCAGCTCTGGAAAACTACTTGATTCATTGACAGAACACGCCAATCTTCTCTGTTTCCAGCAAAATTTCCGCCTAATGGCGACCACGCAAAGAGTGACAGCGGAGCTAGACATGTGTTGATAAACACTGAAAGTCGAAGAGTTTTCAAAGCCAACACTGCTCTTACTTTGAAATAAACGGGTTGATCTGTAAGAAGAGGGGAGGAAATTGAAAGCCCAGGCTAAATAGGTTCCTTCTCTGCCTACGAACAAACGGTAAATTTCCCT